TGCTCTCTTAGCTCGTTCCTGTCTCGTTTTGAGAAACTCACGTCTCCTGTGGAAATCCGGATCGCCCGGGCCGAGTGGAAATTGCTCGCTTACTCGTGCAAGAGCGCGCGCCCACTCACAACAGACAGTGTCACAAGAGACGGTTTAACGCAAATGCAGTCTCCTCGTGTAAGATACTGCGATTGGTGATTTTGTGATTCTTCTCTTTATATCTTTTACAGTGCGCCTCTTCCGATAAGCGCGCTGTAATTGGCAGTCTGCAAATCTCAAGTAGCTCTTGCAATAAGTGTGGATTCAGAATACGACGTTTTTGTCTACAAACAATGCCTCAAAGCCTTCTCCAAAAAGGCATGCGATATATCTGACATATGATTTCTCAGACTGATCTCGTGGGAGTGTCTGGCGAAGTATCCTCACCATATCATTGTGCGGTTCAAGAGGATCCGCGAGGAGCCTAGACGAACCGCTTCTCCGAAAGCCTATTGCCTTATACACTTTTGCCAGTGGCGTTAGCGGGTGTACCGCATCTACGATGCGTCAACGTCTTGAACTGACGCAGTCAATGCTTCTGCTTCATGATAGTGGGGAGATGCCTGACTTTAGCATTTCCTCTCATGTACATAAGCACATGTTTTGCACTATCTACCGACTGCGCGGCTGGTATTCATTGTTCGGCGAGTCCGTTTGACAGCAATCGGAGACAAAAACGCCTGTAAAGGTAACCCCCCAGTCTCTTGGTGCAAACCACCCTTCCGGGATTCGAAGACATCTAGCGAGCCCCTTGTGGGGAGGGTCCTAATTTGGGCGAGCGAACATAAAACCTACAAGTTGTAGGCTACAACTACAGCTTATGGCAGCCGACAATGCTTACAACTATCTCAGCTCTGAACCGATAGATTATTTCCATTTTTTCCATACGAGTCTGGCTATGGTAAGAGATGCCAATTCCCTGTAGATCACAGCTCTTGGGGCACCCTAGGGTTTACAACAACTCAGAAAAGCTATTTGTGCGACGTCTCCTACCTTGTCCACTCGTTAGCTTTTATGTCTCTTAGGAAATGAACTATTCGTGCCACGTCTCCTGCCTTGTCCACTCGTCACCTTTTACGTCTCTTAGGAAATGAATCACAATTCGAGCAAATGCACTTGCACTGTCATCTTTGTTATAAAGCGCGCGCCACTCTACATAGTGCACTTTCCTTTGCTCCGTCTCAGTGTCACATTCACTTGTCTGTTTTGCCAACTTCCAATCCCGGTCGAACGTAGTCTAGCCCGACCTCTCCTTCTATCTTGACTGTTTATTAACTAAACTTTAATTGGCGACTGCTGCTTGTGAGTGGCTCTGCCGATTTGCGGTCTTCAGATTTGCTCACGGCGGTTAACCGTACGCTAACTCTTACGGGGTCGATGTGCTGAACTTTCACGTAGACGATGCTGCTGTATCACATCGATCACCTTTCCGCACCCATTCTCTCCTACATCCCGACATGCAAAGTTACCAGTCACTACAGCGTCGCTGTAACAGCGAGCTTGTCTCCGGTCGCGTGTCATGAAGAACAGCAACCCTTACGGGTGGCGTGTCGAGCCGGAAGGATCGGCCTGCGAAGCAGAGCCTCCCGTAAAATGAACGAGAAGGAGCCATTGCCCCAGCCGTAGCGCAAAGTTTGCGACGCAAAGTATCGTTGCAATACTTTTCGCAGTGACGTGTCGTCGCTCTCTCTCGTCGCCGACGACAAACAACTAACAACGCGGGCGTTCGTTACTGAAACTACCGCTAAGATCTTTGATACATCATGTATTTGATATCAAGCCAGATGAAGAGTTGGGAGTATGGAAAAATCTTTCACGCCGCACTACCCTCCAGTCTCTAGGTGATGGGATATTACATCGCAGGCGTTAGCTGAGTCGGAAAGAGTCCAGATGGCGTGTAGAGCGGATGTTTTGCATCGATTACAGCATTTAACATTGAGTGGAGAATTATCTTTCGATGTTTTCGAACAGATGCGGCATTCTGCACTATTATCTAACTCGGAAAGATCTAAAGTCGACTCCTGTCAACGATGTGCAACTAAGTTCGATATCGATAACCTTCTCGAATGTCGCACAGCTTGTAATACAGGTGATATGCAAAGGCGTAACCATATTAGGGTGAATCTCAGTAACGAGGGAGAGGTTGAAGAAGTTATATCTACACAAGTGAATTATCCGTGGCCATCTCGTCTGTTAGAATGTTCGTCGAATAGTCTTCCGTGGCCAATGTCATTCTGTAATAGTAAAAGAAAGGTCGATATGGAGTTACTGTAAATTCTTGGACATTTATTATGCAGTACGCCTTACTTATGGAAAGTTGTGAGTGATTGTGTGAAGTCGGCAGAGGTTGAGCATTGGGCAGGTCATGTACTTCGATTTCTTTCTGTACATTGTATGAGGAAAGATTTAAAAGCTTTTGGCAGAGTCAATCCCTATCGTAAAGTTTATAGTGTTGTTGAAGTTGAGAAGCGAATCCGGTCCAATATCACTGATGAGGAGTCGTTTCTCAATGGGATATGCAGTTTTTTGTCCGGAATTGAGGGTTCTTCATGTGATATGGTACGTGTTGAAAATGTGTGTGACATCGCAGCTCTCATCCGGTCTGCTAAGAGAAGAATAATATTATTAAATAATATTATTAATAGAATTATTATTAATAAATTTTATTAGACCTTTCGTAAGAAGGTCTTCTGCGAATATTATTCCATTGGAGGTGATAAACTGATCGCTCGATAGTCATGAACTTTGTGTAATTTGTCTCATAGCTAGAGTGTCTCATAGTTGTTACTCAATGAAGTGGTTCAACCATTGTCACCTCTGTTCTATTTTTAATTTACTTCTTGTCCTGGTCATCTTAATAATGTATTCTGGTTATGATATCAATGATTTGGATGAGTTGGATTATAGTGAGGATACGGGTACCAATGACTTAATGGGGACTGACTCTGGTTCTAACCAGGGAAATGACTTCCCTTCCTCCACAGATAGCTTTCATGGTGCATCATCCGAGAAAGCAACTGAGGAGGAAGAGGAGGATAGTGTCGACATACTCCACAAGATCTCGAATGGTTCCGATAATGCTCCGAGCGAGAATCTCAAGTTCATGAAGAAGGTGCAGGATGCTCTTCTACTGGTGAAGAACCCCGAAGGCTCGAATGACTCAGTCTCAAAAGCTCCGATCTATATTTTGGAGTCTATACTAGGGGTGAATATGGGTAATCCTATATTCAAGGGCATGAGATTCAAAGACCCCAAAGGTCGTCCCATCGGTGTAGCGTATTCTCGTGGGCTAGATCTTGGGAGATT